CCCCCCCCCCCCCCCCCCCCCCCCCCTCTCCTCACGCCTGCCTGCCATTCGCAGGTTTCTGCTTTAGAGGCGCAGTCGGAAGAAGAGCGTGCGAGGTCCGAGAGCCTCCGAGCGTCTCTCGACACCACAGCTGCGGAGGCGTCTTCCGCGCGGGAAGCGCTGGCGGAGGCGAGGGCGGGGGGTTCCCTCACGAGGGAGGCGTTGAACCAGGCACAGGTGGCTGGTCATGCTTTACGCGTTCGCGGGGAACTTGCAGTAGTGCTGGTTGGTCGTTGTTTTCGCGGCCATCGAGGTAGACACAGAACCGACACGCCCTCGCATTATTGCACAAGATTCCAGACCTACTGGGCCGAACTTCAAGTTTCGATTGCTCTACGAGGAGAAGGGTGTCAGTTTCTAAAAGGATGGAGGCGTTATTCGGAAAGCTCAACGCCGCCATTTTCGGCATCGTCTTGTGTCTTTTCCTGAAGAGAATACCAGCTTTGAAAAGCTTCCCAACGGTGTGTGGTATCTTACGTAACCTGCGGTACCCATGTGGTTGGTTGTACTTGACTCGCAGAGGCCGGTACCCTTGCCGAAAGCTGCAAGCAGTAGTCAGATGTACCTCGTGCAAAGCTTGCGTTACGTTGGTATCTGCGTTGGGGAAGCACTCCTTTACTCGGCTCCCTTTGCGTGACATTGTTTCAGGTGTCTTCAGTAGTGTCTTGCAAAAATACGCACAACCCCACCCTTTTTTTACCCCACGATTGCACCACAAAATCTGGCGTCAATTGGCCAACTGCTGCTGTCACACTCCTACGCCCCCTCCCTCCCCTCGCCCGGCTTCGTCGCCTACTACTACTACCGCGAACGACCTACCACAACAGTCATCCCTGGAAGCGGAACGCGCGAGCTTGGCATCCGCGAGGGATGACCTCGCTACCACCCGAGAACGCCTTCGTCGTTCCCAGGAAGATGACCTCGCCTCGGCCTCCGAGCAACTCCGGCTCGCGACCTCCGACCTCGACGCCGCCCGTCTGGAGGTGGCGGCCCTGACGGCCTCGAGAGACGCCCTGGGAGCTCGGCTGTCGGAGGAGCGGGAGAGGCGTCGTGAGGCCGAAGCGGCGGCGCAAGACGGGCTGAATGCCTCCGTTACCGAAGCGGAGACCCTGGCGGCGGAGCTGCACGAGAGAGAGAAGGCGGTGAACGAGAGGGACGAGCTCTTGAGGGAGGCCAGAGTGGAAGCCGAAGCGGCACGAACGGCCGCTGACGAGGCCGAGAGAGACGCGGTGCAGAGAGCGACGGAGGCGGCCGAGAGAGCGGCGGAGGTGGACAGGCTGAACGCCGCGATGGCGGAGACGGCAACGCGGGCGCGCGAAGCCCAGGAGGGTGCAGCGCGGCAGATAGACAGCTTGCGAGGAAAGCTGAACGCCTCCGTCGCCGAAGTGGAAACCGTGGCGGCGGAGCTGCACGCGAGTAAGAAGGCGACAGCCGAGAAGAGCGCTCTGTTGACGGAGGCAAGAGAGGCTGTCGAAGCGGCTCGAGCCGCTGCTGAAGAGGCCGAGAGAGACGCGATGCAGAGAGCGACGGAGGCGGCAGAGAGAGCGACTGAGGTGGACAGGCTGGAAGCCGCACTGGCGGAGCGGACGGCGCAGGCGCTGGTAGCCGAGGAAGAGGCCGCGCAGCAACTGGAAAGCTTGCGAGAAAAGCTGGACGCCTCCGTCGCCGAAGCGGAAACCCTGGCGGCGGAGCTGCGCGAGAGTAAGCAGGCCGTGGCCGAGAATAGCGATCTGTTGAGGGAGGCGAGAGAGGCCGCCGATGAGGCTCGAGCCGCTGCTGAAGAGGCGGACAGGGATGCGGTGCAGAGAGTGAGAGAGGCAGCCGAGAGAGCGACAGAGGCGGCCGAGCGAGCGGCGACGGACAGGCTGGAAGTCGCACTGGCGGAGAGGACGGCGCGGGCAGTCGAAGCGGAGGAAGAGGCCGCGCAGCAACTGGAAACCTTGCGACAAAAGCTGGACGCCTCCGTCGCTGAAGCGGGAACCCTGGCGGCGGAGCTGCACGCGAGTAAGCAGGCCGTGGCCGAGAATAGCGATCTGTTGAGGGAGGCGAGAGAGGCTGCCGATGAGGCTCGAGCCGCTGCTGAAGAGGCGGACAGAGATGCGGTGCAGAGAGCGGCAGAGGCGGCAGAGAGAGCGACAGAGGCAGCCGAGCGAGTGGCGACGGACAGGCTGGAAGCCGCACTGGCGGAGAGGACGGCGCAGGCTCTGGTAGCCGAGGAAGAGGCCACGCGGCAACTGGAAAGCTTGCGAGAAAAGCTGGACGCCTCCGTCGCTGGGCTATATTTGGGGTGGCGTGTTTTACAGCGCTTTGCCAACAGCGCCAACCCACTGAAGTCTAGATTGCGGTGCGGAAAAGGGTGCTCGGGGGGGGCTATTTGCAGGGGAGTCTCCAGCCGCGTCCTCTTTGGGAACGATCCGTGGTGGCGGCGATTTCGGGGCGTCTCATTTTTCGCCGCCGCACGGGGGAGGATAAAGAGCGAAAAAGATACGTCTTAGGTTGTGGAACGAAGAGATGCTTTTAAGGCGAGATCAGCGACACTCCCGTCAAGAGCTGTGGTCCTTGTGGCTGATGTGTTTTTTGTGGTTGATGCCGTTGTGGATGGTGATTACTATTTGTCCGCAGTAAGGAGCATCTTGACCCCGTGCCCGGCACCCCTGTATTCCGTACCGTATTCTTCCAACCCGGCAAGGAGACGGGTTTCAGTCAACACAGACGAGGCATTCGTACGTGCCTCGCCATTTCTCCCCATCATCACCTCCTCGCAACACCTAACCCCACACCCAAAATATTCGCGGCGCCCCCCCGTCCCCCTCCCCCTGGTAATATTCAGTGGCTCTCACCCGTCTTCGTGAAGAACTGGAAACTGGCAACACAAGGGTCGAAGACGCCCTCGAGGCGTTGGAGGAGAACCGTGCTCGTGCCGTCGACAAGGCCCACGATGAGACGCTGCTGAAGGAGGAAAGGGACGACCTCCGCTCGCGGCTGAGAGATCTCGAAGGTGAAAACGCGTGACTCCAAACATCCGTATTGTTTGTGTGTGGCCCGGCCAACGCTTTAATAGACGAATTTTTGGTCATCTGGCTGTGAGCTTCGCTCATGTGGGCAGCGCCCGTTTCGGCCGTATGATGTAAGGAGGCGTTTGTGTATATCCGAAGGAAGAAGGACCCCAAGGTGTCGCCTATCTCGGAGGAGGGGGGGGTTCCTGCGTCCTACCATATGCTTTGATCAGGGGGGGGGCACAGATGACTCCTGTGCCCTTCCTGGACTAGAGAGGGGCACCCTGAGTTTTCTCCCCAACGGGCCCCCCTAGTATAGTACCTACATAATATGAAGTGCAAAAAGGAGGTAGGAACAAAAAAACATGAGTGGGGGTAGCTATGCGTCCTGGATTTCTTCCCTTGGCCCAGAGAAGGGCACGCCGTGGGCGTGTATACAATTTGCAGTTTTTTTCTGCTTTCTCGGGGAAGCCGTGAGACCTTGAGGAGGAAGGCAGGAAAGAAAGCGAGAGCGAGAAACGAGGGGAGGGCGGGTCCCGTGGATGCATGCACGCGCAATTTTCTTGCTCCGCTCTCTCCAGAGGGAGAAGCTGGTGGACAGGAAGAGCAAACGCCCTGAGGATCCTTCCCAACCTCCGCACCAACACCACCCCCGGCCCGCCGCGAACCAGGCTCTCTGAGGGAACAGTCCGCACGCGCGGCTACCCTGGAGGACAGCCGCGCCGCCCAGGAACGCCTCCTGAGGGACAAGGAAAAAACCCTGGAGGCCGTGTACGGCGAGGCGGAAAGCCTGCGCCGGCGGCTGGACGCGGAGTCGACCAGGTTCGCGGAGGCGCGGGCGGCGTTTGCGGCGGAGGCGGCGGAGGCGGCGGCGGCGGCGAGCGCGGAGGAGGCGCGGACCGAGGCGACCAGGGCCGGGGCGGCCGAGTCTCAGCAAGCGTTGGCCCGGCTCGGGCACGCCACCGCGGAGATGGAAACCCTTAAGGTGCGACTTCGGACGTGTGTGGTATTGTGTGTGTGTGTGTGTTTGAAATACAGTGGGGGGGGGGGG